TGTACACGTGATCACCTGTACACCTGTACACATGATCACCTGTACACATGATCACCTGTACACCTGTACACATGATCACCTGTACACACGATCATCTGTACACATGATCACCTGTACACCTGTACACGTGATCACCTGTACACCTGTACACATGATCATCTGTACACACGATCATCTGTACACATGATCACCTGTACACATGATCACCTGTACACCTGTACACGTGATCACCTGTACACATGATCACCTGTACACATGATCACCTGTACACCTGTACACTTGATCACCTGTACACATGATCACCTGTACACATGACCACCTGTACACCTGTACACATGATCACCTGTACACATGATCACCTGTACACCTGTACACATGATCACCTGTACACATGATCACCTGTACACCTGTACACATGATCACCTGTACACACGATCATCTGTACACACGATCACCTGTACACATGATCACCTGTGAACCAGTATACCTGTACACCAGTATACCTGTACACCTGTACACATGATCACCTATACACCTGTACACATGATCACCTGTACACCTGATCACCTGATCACCTGAGCACCTGAGCACCTGGACCTTCTCAGGAGTCCTCCTCCACGCTGCGTTCACTGACACCTTGTCTGCAGGTTGATGGCGGTGGAGGAGGAGCTAAAGCGGGACCACGCTGAGATGCAGGCGGTGATCGAAGCCAAGCAGAAGATCATCGACGCTCAGGTACAGTACCATCTTCATCATCATCATCATCATCATCAGGTGCTGAAGGTTAGGTCAGGAGATGAAGACTGTGGACTGGTTTCCACGCCGCGGCGTTGTTGAAGCGTTCAGGTGTGATCTGGAGCGGCAGCGGCCAGGTTCAGGTGTTTACTGGTCGGTCTGCGGCGGCGCTGTGCTCTGCTTCTCATCGTCTCTTTACTGGTTTCAGGTCAGTAACGGATGTGAAATAAACCCATCAGGCAAGTACCTGTAGCCCCGCCCCCTCCTCCACCACGCTCTGCTTGATTGAGTTCATTAATTTTTAATCAAAACACCGTTAACAAAATGCCAACACCTCTGCAGCCGGCCAATCAGAGGGCAGTCAGTCAGGTTTTACTGCTGCCGCCCCCTGCTGGTCAGACCCTGCAGCTGCTTCAGCAGAATTATTACAAACTTTTTATTTTAATGTTTTTAAGGTGTTTTATTTTGAAGGGCTTCAGTCTGAAACAGGTTAGACACAGTCAGGTTTTATTTTTCTGTTTAAAAAAATAAAATAAAATGTTTTCAGGATGTTTTATTTTGAAGGGCTTCAGTCTGAAACAGGTTAAACATAGTCAGGTTTTATTTTTCTGTTTAAAAAATAAAATGTTTTCAGGATGTTTTATTTTGAAGGGCTTCAGTCTGAAACAGGTTAGACACAGTCAGGTTTTATTTTACTGTTTAAAAAATAAAATATTTTCAGTGTGTTTTATTTTGAAGGGCTTCAGTCT